CTAATTTGCATAGCCATTGCAATGTTCTAATTTGCATATCCATTGAATCTCCATGTTCTAATTTGCATTGTCATTGAATCTCTATGTTCTAATTTGCATAGCCATTGAATCTCTATGTTCTAATTTGCATAGCCATTGAATATCTATGTTCTAATTTGCATGGCCATTGAATCTCTATGTTCTAATTTGCATAGCCATTGAATCTCTATGTTCCAATTTGTGTAGTCATTGAATCTCTATGTTCTAATTTGCATAGCCATTGAATTTCTGTTCTAATTTGTAAGCCATTGAATCTCTGTTTTGATTTGCATAGTCATTAAATCTCTATGTTCTAATTTACATAGCCATTGTAAATGTGTAGTCATTGAATCTCTACATTCTAACTTGCATAATCATTGAATCTACATGTTCTACTTTGCATATTCATTTGCTCTATTTTGTATAATCATTGAATTTCTATGATCTAATTTGTGTAGTCATTGAATCTCTTTAAAAGTTGCAGTCATTAGATTTCTATATCTTAATTTGTGTTATCGTTAAATCTTCTTTGTTGTAATTCACAGTCATTGAATCTTCTGGTTCCAATTTACAGTCATGTAATCTACATGTTCTAATTTACATGATCATTTAATGTCAATGTTCCAATTTGCTTAGTGATCCATATACTATAGCTAATTTGCAGTCATTTAATCACTATGTTCTAATTTGTGTAGTCATTGAATCTTCATGGTCTAATTTTGCATAGTCATTTAATCACTTTGTTTTAATTCATACATGTATAATTATTTTATCTCATTGTTCTGATTTGCATGGTCATTGAATTCTTATGTTTTAATTAGCATAGTTACTGAATCTTTATGTTCTAATTTGCTAAGTCCAGGGCTTGAAATTCAGAAAATTTTGTAAATTGATTCAGCATATAGAAATAATATAGGGAATATCGAAGAGCACCAAAGCAAACTCAATGGACATCAAGGCAATTGCCTTTGATCTCTCTGTGAAGTTTAAGCCCAGATAGTCATTGAATCTGTGTTTTAATTTGCATAGTCATTTAATTTCAACGTTGCATTTTAGCATATTCCTTGAATATGTGTTCTAATTTGCATATTCATTGAATTTCTACATTGTAATTTAGCATATTCATCGAATCTCCATCTTCTAATATGTATGGTCATTGATATTTCATATTCTAATTGAATTCTTTCATCCTCCGTGTTTCAATTCACATAAATTGAGAAACTGACTTTTAGTACCACTAATTTGCATAGTTATTGAGTGTCATTCTTATAATTTGCATAGCATTTCACTCATATTTATAATCCATTCAATTAATAATGCCTACATGAATCATTTCTCTCCAAATATTGATTTGTGATATTTCAAACATCGTTCTCTATAATGGGTTTGTATTATAATACTATTATAATATTGCCAGCATCAACAGAAAAAGCGTGGCTCATAATTAATGTTTTATTGAAATTCAAACATTATATTGTACTTGTAAATTACTAGTATTAAAGTTCCCTGACGTGAATTTCACACTATTCCCAGCATTGGAGTGAATATTGCCAGGTAATTCTACTTTCTACAGTCAATTTAGTCACGTATAATTGTCTTTTCTGTTTGATATTTGGTTCACTGGATTATTATTATGTTTTAGGTGCTTTTAAAATCAGTAATAATTTGATTGTAGTTTTTTTAAATGGTATTTAAAAGAATGTAACATGGTACTATAATAGAAAATCATGTGAATCCAAGTAAGTAGAGTAACTCACTAATTTATAAATACTTTTTTCGATACACACTACACAGAGATTTCAAAGATTGATGACAAAATTAAATATTATTAGTTTTTATAACACGCCATGTGTTTTCATTAATTTTCATAAAACTGGAAAAAATAATGAAATTTGAAACCTGCAGTAGGTCATACAAATGTCAAATCCTGTGGTAACCATTTATTTATGAAGCAGATGGTAACATAACACAGTTCTGATAATTTTAAATGATAAATAACTAACTTAGGTCAAGAAGGTTGAAGATCATTACATCTGACGATTCTTTTTCTTTATTGTAACTTTGTCACAATTTAGACTGATTTTAAAGGAAATAACTGATGATATGCAAATTAATTAATGACTGACTATATCTGCTCTTCTTTGTAATGATATTACTCTGTTGCTATAGCGATGTATGTTTTTAAAATTACAGATTACATGCAGAATACATGTTGTAATGGGATTATTGAGTGTGTTTAATTCTTTTTTTTTTTTTTTTCTTTTCTTTTAAATAATTTTTTTTT